GAAGCAGTACTTTTAAAGTTAACAGCCACTTTTTTACATTTTGTTGCGTAGAGATCGGCAATTCCAGGTCTGAAATCATCCAAATGATTCTAGTGAAGGTGTTCAGAGTTTGAAAATACAATAGTGCACTTCCTGTATCATCACATGACATCACACGGTGGAACACCGTTTTCAGTTTGAGAAAATAACTCAGCATAAATTTGCAGGGTTTGTGTGTTAAACATGTTTGAATGAAACAAAACACAAGTCCAGATATTTTTTTTGATTAGGAAACATAACATAGATCAGAAAATAGCATAATATGGGTCCTTTAAGGTGTCCAGAAATATGTATTTAAAGCCTAAGTAAAGCATTTTGGAACTTGTACATGTACTAGTAGTATGCTCTAGAGATATCATTACAAACCACTGACTCTTCTACTGCTTGTATTAGTAAAAGTATGTTTCTTTGAATAGTTTATTTTCCTCCTAACCATATCAATGTTTCTTTAAAAACATGAAAACCCAACATCCGTCACTGTTTGGGGGAACCTGCATTCTGGCCTCTTTTATCAGACGTTTCCCTCGGAGAAGAAATGACTAATAGAATGCGGAATGAGCCACAGCCAGAGCCAGGCACCAAAAAGAGAATTGGAGTTTCAGTTTGTGCTTTGATAAGAAAGCCAAAAGGAATAAAAACATGATAGAAATACAGCTGTGTTCAACTGTTACATATAAGAATACATGCCTTGTTTAGTGATGTAATTATTGTGAAATGTTGCTAATTTGGTTATGTACATATTGTAAATACCGACAAGTACAGTGGGGACCAGACAGTATAAAGAAGTAAACTAATTGAGTGTGACGTCACCCATAAAGTTCAGTTCCAGTCAAAAGAAGCTCATGAAGCTAGCAGTTATAGAAGCGAATTTGAAGCTGAGTTCCATTGTGAAATAAAAACACCAGGATCATGTAGAGTGGGTTAATACAAACATTTTAAGACCACAGTGAGGAGTCTGACAGCAGCAGTTACAGAGAAAGGGGCGATGTTTTTTTCAATAAAAGGTGAATTGGAGCCGATGTCGATTGAGCTGGAAACACGCCCATGTTCACTTCCTATTTGGAAAGCAGTGACTGCAAATGTCCATTTACAGTCTATGATGGGGACACATCTTAAACTACAAATATACTGCATTATTTGTTGTTGCTGTTGGCCTTTAAACATGTTCTTGAGCACCTTTGCTTTGGCATGTCATGTTTTAGAGGTTAAAATAATAACTATCTACAGAGAATTAAAGGTTCTACAGTGTATAAAGCTGGCGCCACCTAGTGCCTCCGCCCAATTTAATTTCTCTCTAGCAACTAGGTCAGGAATCGGAATACACTAGATGGTTTACAAGAACCCCGGAAGTTGTAGACCGCGCAGTCAGTGAAGAGCTGTGAAGCCATGACGTCAAACTCAAATGCCTGTTTGGGTCACTTTTGTGGTACAGCACAACAGTAAACAAAACGGTTGAGATGGATGTAGACGAAGCCCAACAATCTGTGTTGGCAATGATTGAGTATTTAAAACCAGAACAAAGAGAATGTTTGGTGAATTTTATCAAGGGGAAAGACGTTATTGCCCTTCTGCCTACGGGATTTGACGCATTACATACGTCACGAACAAATAGCAGCGATTGGTTAAATAAAAAAGTACCCACCTACCGGACCTACCGTTGAGCGAACAAATCCTAATGCTGTGAGGTCAGACAGTTTCCTTAAAGTGAAACCGGTTGATGAATCATGCTATAAAACTGTTCCTTTTGAGCTTTAAACCATGTTACAATGTTCTTACCTCCTCAGAAAATACCCAGAATTGTGTGAGTATGTTTTTTGTTTGCTTTTTCACACATGTTTAAGTAATCCCAGTTTATTAGTCTGTCTACATCTCCAAAGCTCAAAATGTTCTGTTTTGTGACGTCATGCAGTGGTAAATTCCAAGTTAACAGCTACCGTTTAACTTCATTTCAGGAGAGATTGGCAACTCCAGGTCTGAAATTATTCAAATGATTCCAGTGAAGGTGTATGAAGTTTAAAAATGCAGTGGAGCACTTCCTGTATTCCATGACATCACAAGGTTGAACACAGGGTTTCCGTCTGAGAGAAGAACAAACAAACAAAAACACAACTCCATGTATGTCTGTGATAAGGAAACATCATTATAACACAGAAGAGAAAACAGCGTAAAACAGGCCCTGATAGTTGCCGGGAGGTGCATTATTTCCCCATTTAACTTCACTGTGTCACATGCCAGCTCTGTGTTTTTTGCTGTGTCTCAGTATCTCAAGCCTCATTCCCCAAACTGCAGCTTTAGCACGGTGGAGGAGCGAGGGACTGAACCTGGCTCAGTCCGGTAATCACCACAAAACACACGGCGTTTGTGTGGATCTGCAGACACTCACACCTGACAGACATCCCTGCGCTGGTGAGCCAAATGAGCCAGAGGACATGAAAACTGTTCACAACTTTACTACAAGAAATGTTTTCGTTCCAATGCATAGGAAACAGAGAGAAAATGATGCATGACTAAAGTGTAGTGTAAAAGCATGAGGCGGTTCACGTTTCAGTAGGCTGCCAGATAAAATACAGTTGCTCTCTTCATATATTCCTGTTCTCTGGTTAATGTTGCAACATTTTCTGGTCTGTTATAATGTTGTCTCTTCATCCCAAACATGCCTGAAGTTCTGAATTTTATGTTTTATTCACACAAGTTCAACACACAAGCCCTGCATATTTTAGGCTGAATTCCTCTCTCAAATGGAAAACACTCTATTCCAACTTGTGATGTGATGTAGTAATACAGGAAGTGCTCCACCTCCACTGGAATCATTTGAATAATTTCAGACCTGGAATCATAGGCGGAGTCTGCGGGGGTCAGGGGTGGCACTGCCCTCTCCAGTGGCTGAAATATGTCACGCCATTGAGTCTATAATATGGCCAATACAAATATTTACTTTTTTAAATGTATTAATATTTTAAATATGTCAATAAAATAAAAAGATTGTATGAAATAAATATTAATCCTAGTAAACCAAGACTGAACCAGGACTGAACTAGGACTAAACCAGGACTAAAACAGGATTGAACCAGGTCTGAGCTAGGTCTCAACCAGGAATAAACTTGGACTTGAGAGAGTGAGGGGGGGAGAACCCAAGCCCATGGAGCAGGGTGTCTGCAAATCGCGATCGGGCAGCGGCTGCGCTTAGCTCCGTGGAGTGTGGAGCTCCGCGCTGGTCCTTTCTCCAACGGTCACCCAAAACATCCGGGCCCATCCCAACACTCAGCCCTTGTTCAATTTTGGTTTAGTCCTGTTTTAGTCCTGGTTCAGTCCTGGTTCAGTCCTGGCAGTGTAGCCCTGCGTACCATGTCCACTATACCCTGTTCACGTGTGATGCTCGGTGCAGTTTGGCTTTATGGGAGGCTTATGAACAGTCCTGTTGTATGTCTAATAGTATGATAACTATTCTGTGTAATGTCACAAAATAGTTCTAATGCACAGCGGTGTGGACAGTAAAGCCATAATTTTACTGTACAGGGTAAGGCTTTTCCTTACTGTGCAAATGGCAATATGCATATTAAATCTTGAATCGAGTGCGTATGTTTGTTTACACCCTCTAGCGCAAAAGTCAAACTCCGCCTTTGCCCGGAATTGCCAATCTTTGCTGAACTTAAGGTAAAAGGAGCTGTTAACTTGAAAACTACCACTACATGACATCAGGTGGAACTGAGCATTTTGGACTTTGGACATCTAAACTATAAAGAAAGGATTACTCAAACATGTGTCACTTAAAAAAAACACCACTCCAGGTCTGTTTTTGAGGAGGTAACAGCATTATCACATGGCTAAAAGCTTACAAGATTTGCATAATATAGGACTTAAAATAGCCAATCACAAAAACAAATGAAATTGTTTTTTGTGTTTGGAAAATGGACTACTATTAACAGGCAAAACCAATCCTCATTTGTATCTATACTCCAAAATACAGTAAATAATGAGATTTCAACGTTGTTAAACTTGTAAAAACTGAGTATGGCTTGATTTTGATCATGCACTGTAAACCCAAATTAGTAATCATTACTAAAACCGCGCGTGGTAAGTGATTGCACTGGGATGTCTAGTTTTTACAACATCAAAAACTAAACAAATCGAGCTCTGTTTACATAAAATCTTCTGTCCAAGATAACCCATTACTAAAGAACTTAAGTTTCTAAAACTAATGTTTACAAGTAATTAACTAACCATTACTTGTGTATTACAGTAATCAGTACTTATTTTTATCAGTATGTATTTCTGATATTTATGAGTATTTATTGAATATGTTTATTAATTATAATAATTAGATGCAAATTATACATCATATTATTTTTTTAATAATTGACATAAAATGACAATTTTTTTCTCACAAATTTATTGCAAAAATAGTGCAATAAACTGAATAAACCTGAATAAAGTGCAGTCTTCTGTTTGTTCCCTGTAACAGCATTTGCTTTTGTGTTTTACATTTCACAATTCAAACAAGGGGTTATAAGGGTTGTCAGCTTGTCCATAACAATTTCACCCTCAATGATGATTTTCAGGCAGCTGGGGGAAGATCTGGTGTTGGAAGAGAGACACCTTCAGATTTACTAACAAGATCCCAATGTCCATTTGGCGAAAGGATTCATCACCATCCTAAAGAAAAACAAAAAAATTAATGCCAGAAACATAACCATTAGTGAATGAAATTACTGAACTACAACAGACTCAATAAGAATGACAAAACATAAATTGTATGAAATTAAATTTATGCTGACATGATAACTGATAAATGTTCAAACAAATATTTGAAAATCAATAATAACCTGACTTTAAGATAAATAATATTCATGGAATGGCTGAAGCTCGTAATGTATAGACTACTTGTCAGTTTTGGCATATTCAAATTATACAATAAATGTCACATTCTAAAAGTTTCACATTACAAACAAAATGTACACTTACAAAGCTTCTAGATTTGAAGAATTCAGTGGGACTTGTCTCCGAGTAAGTAAGGAAGACCTCTTAGTGTGACTGTCCTTTTTTCAGTAGAATCCAGTGACTGTAAGACAGAAAATGGATACTGTATGATAAATTAAAAGAAATAAACACTTTTGTAAATATACATTTAACCATTAACATGAACTATGTATTTTAATAAAAATGAATTATCTTTTTATCCATTTTAGATTAACTATGTTATGAACTTATGCTTTTACTACACGTGTATTTTTATCCGGGTTACAAAAGTTTTACCTGTATTTGCTGCAAAAGCTGTGCCAACTGTCACCCACGTTGCCCCTCTTAGCTTTAAAACTTTCAATAAAATGGGTAGTGTGGTTATCAAGGGCAGAATAAAATTCCTGGTGCAGGTCTTTTCCCACAATCCTTTTGAATTCCAGACAAATCTAAAAAAAAAAAAAAAAAGAAAGAAATTAGTGTTCTGTAGTGTCTGAGGTAGTAACCTCTCTTATCACAGCTGAACTCACAGTATTTACAGCTCCACAGCATGTTGGGTAGTCACCTGTAAAACAGAAAATATGTTTTAGTGTTTAATTCCAACCAAAGCTTTTATGCAATTTTGTGGTGATAATCTAAAAACTTGAACTCCAAACTCTCCATTTGCACCCACGATTTTAGATTTTAGAACAATCATATAGCAAACAACGAAAACGAGTCTCGATTAAAAAAAAGGCGCGGTGCACACGGTGTACGTGAGTAGTTCTATGGGTTCATGCGTCGTTAAACCGCCACCCGCCCGAATTTGATTAAAATAGTATTTTTCGTCGCGTCATCCGCCCGAGCCGCGGTTTAGCCGCGGAGTCCGCCCTCCGCGCATCTCTACCGGGCCGGTAAAGATGCCGGTAGTACCGGCTCAGACACCGTTAACTGTTAGCATTAGCTGTTCTCTGTTAGCGGCTAACAGATGCTAGCGAGCGCATCGTGACCACAAGTTCACTTCACTTTAGTCTTATTTGGCTGCAAGCGTCAACCAATGTCACCAACTATTCAGTCTCACGGGAACATAAACCATATTTATTCACTTACCATATGATGATAAAGCAGACTGACGCTGAATTGCAGCCAACAGTCCGAGCAGAAGTCAAATGTGGTTTGGTGCAGTTTGGGAGTGTTCAGGTGCCACGCCTCTCCCTTCACCGGTAAAAACATACAAGTGTGAGCCGTCTCCACTCAGAGCCATTAGTACAGCAAATACTAGTTTAAAATAGTTTACAATTCACACTTTGTTTAGTAATGGTCCCGCCTTTTGCAAAATATTAAAAAGATTAGTAATATTAGCATGGCTTAATATGTAAAAGAAAATTTGGGTTTACAGTGTGGAGACTTGGCGACGATCACGCCAACGCTCTCAGTGGCTGTGTTTACATCGACTAATGCCAGATTCGTACCAAATACTAATCCCAGTGAGCCAAATGAGCCAGAGGAGATGAAAAACTTTGGGAACTTTGCTGCAAGAAATGTTTTTTTGTTGAAATGCATAGGACACGGAGGGAAGATGATACGTTCTATAGCTAAGTGTGTTTCAGGAGGTTGCCAGATAAAAATCCAAATCCACTTTATTTATATAGTACATTTTACAAACAAAGCAGTTTCCAAAGCGCTGCACAGAGACCATAAAATAAAGATAGAGAAAAATGTGATCATACCAGTCCTAAAACAATAAAACCATTAAAAATCAAATAAAAGCAAAACAATAAAATAACAATAAATAAGTAAATAAAACAAAAACACAGAGGACCACACAACTCACGCCGTGTAAAAGCCAGAGAATAAAAGTGGGGTTTAAGACGAGACTTGAAAAAATCCAGTTGCTTTATTCCTCTTTGTCTGCCTCTGTTTTCTGGTAGTTGATATTCTTAAAGCTGCATTATGTAACTTATATCTCTTGCATTTGTTCAATTACAGGTGTTTTAGTGCTCGAAAATACCTTCAAAGATGCAAATTCTCACCATGTGCAGGCTTGCTTCTCCACAGATCTGACCATTAATCTATCTCCATTGTGATTACCAGGTTTAGAGACGAGCAGGGGACCAGAAACGTTACATAGTGCACCTTTAAAATTATATATTGATTTAAAATAGGTAATGGCAAAAACAAATTAATCTGAATTGTTTTTGTGTTTGGAAAATACTACAATTAATACGCAAAACTGATCCCCATTTGAATCAATACTCTTGTTAAATGCATTAGAAAATGAGATTTCAGTGTTGTTAAAGTTGTTAAAACTTTAATATTGCCTGATTATGATTATGGAGACTTGGCTACAATCACCCCGACTCTCTCAGTGGCTGTGTTTACATCGACTCATGCCAGATTCATACCAAATGCTAGATCTGGAGTGCAGATCTGTGGTAAGAATTTGAAAAGGAATTCTTTTTTCCTGGACACAACAGTAGTTTGGAGCAGTTTTCAGGTAATTAGACAAATATTACAGCATGAGCTCTTACTTAACTTAAATATGCACTGCAGTATATTGTAGTTGGTATAAAAGGCAGTCTGCAAGTATGTGCCGACCCTGCTCCATACTGAGTGTAAACCTGGCATGAGACAAAACAGAAGTACTGCTCTACACTGACATGTTTTAAACTACATGCAAAACCATGACAGAAGAAAGTACAGAGTAAGAACAGAGGCAGGGGTGGACCAACATCGCACAGCCAACACGGTCTAATCCCAAATGAATGTTAGAGACACATCAGGCAGGTTTGTAGATAAAAATTAGTTCTCACATTGACTGAAGCCACATTGGCTTCTGACATATAAATTAAGTCTTTTGAACTTCTCTTTGACAGGAACAGATTCAAAAGATTCAAATCCCATAAAAGAGCTGAGTTTTTTGTCTTTCTACTTTGCCTTTTTATACACGCAAAAAAATATTTGCAAATATCCTGTGAAATGTGTAATTTTTTTGCCAGGTAATGTCACACAGGGCAGTGAGTGCAGGTAAAGAGACTTACTTTACACAGACTTATAATGGGCACAGACTGTCAGTCTAAACACAGGAAGCTCAAAATAACTATAATGAATATTTAGTGCAGCACTATTATCACACACACAAGACACGTTTCAGGCACTTACCAGCTCTGTTTCAGGTGTTAGAAGATTTCTTAGAGTCCATTATATTTGACCTGTATGCTAATCGCAAATGCTAATAATTCATTAGCATTTTATTAGTTTCTCGCTTCAAAGAACCCACATGTGCATTTTAAAATGCAGCTGTAGTTTGTACGATGTCATTTGTATAAATGTTCACACCACAGCTGATCGCTCAGATATTTAAGCAGTTTATGCAGATTCTCTTGGGCACTGAATGTTTACATTAGGACTTGAAGCAGTATATAGCCGCCGGTGATATATAGGTCACATGTCAGGCCTGAACTGTTAGTGACCTGGTTTTGTAAGTTGTGCATTATAATCTTAAGGTCTTATATTTTACAAATTGCCATACCTCCTCAAAAACATATCTGGAGCTGTGATTTGTTTCATTTGCACATTTCTGAGTCACCCTTTATTATTAGGCCGTCTACATCTCCAAAGCTCAAACTGTTCTGTTCTACATTGGGATTGTAAATTCTTTGACTGAAATCATCCAAATGATTCTGGTGAAGGTGGATGGAGTTCAAAAACACTGTGGAGCTCTCCCTGTATTACCAAATGACATCACAAGTTGGAACAGATTGTGTGAACCAAACAAAACACAGCTCCAGGTATGTTTGTGATGAGGAAACAACATAACATAGATCAGAAAATATTGTAATACATAATAAGAATACAGCCCGACTGAAGTTAGAAGACAGCACAGAACATGGCAAAAATGACTGAATTGTACCATAACTTCAGCACAAGCAACGCACCGACTTTTGGCTAATGACTTCCCCCGCGACAACCAAAGCTCTCCGCCAAGCCGCATTTCAGCACCGCTCCAGGACATGTGTGGATGACCTAACAGCCAGAGAGCAGACTTCGAGGAGGAGGCCTGGAAGAACTGGGCGAAATGAACTCGGTGGAGCTTCAAAGCGGCCAAGTCTGGAGCCAGGGAGCACGCTGAGTGGATACTGACAGCTTTCAATTCACAGTGGCATGTATGAAGCGCTCCAACCATCACAGAGGAGCCGGAGCACAGCCTGGATCAGGTGACAGTCCCTTCAGGGCATCAATCCAAAGAGCCTGCGTGTGCGGAGCCGGCTGACAGGCTGACATCCGTGGAGCGCTGTGAACTACAAGGGAAATGTTAAGTACGGCTCTACCAGCATGGTGGATGTCCCCGAATGTGCAGTGGCCAATTCAGCCGGGGTAAGTGCCAAGGCGAGGGTTTCCAATGTGAGCGGACAGGAAGTGGATAATCACGTTTGGTATTTGGAGATATTTTGGAAAGCGCTTCGTCTGGGAATTAGTGATGTGTGATAGCAGGGTTTTTTTGTTTTCATCTGATACCAAGTAACACTATGGCCTGTATTGTCATGTAGAATTGTTACAGAGTTTGTATTCAAGTCCACTGATACTCCTCTACTATGAAAGGAGTACTTTGAAACATTTTAAACATAAAGACTTTATCAAATTAGTGGGAAAATGGAAATGGAATGTCTTTGTGTTGAGTAGTTTTCAAATGCCAAATGTATTTCAGTGAATTCAATTAGAAAGATTCCTTCTTGATAGTGACAAATTAAGATATGAAGCTGTAGTTTATATGCAACCATAGACCATGTCTCTTACTTTTTCCTCTCATCCAACCACTTCAATTTATATCCATTTTGTAAATGCATTCCATCCACTAACTAAATAATTTGTCGGTAAATACTCATATATGGTGTCACAAAAAGTGGCCATAGCAGCTTGTCAAAGCCTGGTGTCATCAGATGTCAGAAGCAATGAAGGACAGGGGCTGGTTAGTACCTGGGAGACCACTGGGAATACCAGATGGCAGTGGCAAAAACTGCCATTGTGTCTTTAAGTAATTGCATAGTACGAATGTAGTGTGTGTGAGTGTTGGTGGTGGTCAGAGGGGCCAATGGCGCAGAGTGGCAGTCTTGCTTCTGTCAGTCTGCTCTAGGGCTAGGGTTGGGCAGTATCCAAATTGTGATACCATTAAACCATCTCAGGATTTTACTGGGGTATGCAGTATTACCGTATTACCAAAATGTACTGAAAAGTTTCACATGAACCATCTCTAACACGATACACGCACAGAACAGACTCACCATCAGCTGCACATCCTCTGTCACAGAAAAAAACACACAGATTCCACTGAGTCATGTCCTTTAGTCCGACAGAATCTGAACCACATCAGCACACAAGGAAAGAGCTGTTTTTAACACAGCTTTATAGTTTATGCAAATGGAGCCATGTGGTTTTAAGTTTAGTTTCTGTTAAACATAAACAAATGTGTGCCTGAAGCCAAAATGCTGCCAAATTGCAGAAGTACTGGTAGTTTACAACTACTAGTAATAGTTTTTTTTTTTTTTGGTTTTTTTTTCTTGTCTTGGTCTCCATTATGAGCTGTCACGTGACAATGGAACGAAACAAATCGAACATCATTTCCCCATGCCATTAAAAGAAACATTATAGTCACTATTAGTTTTAAATCGTGATAGCATTACATCAAAAATACAACCGCACATTCATTTGTACTGAGCAAACACATTTAGGTATGAATAAATTATATTATATTACGTCCTTATTCGCTGCAGATGTTTTTAATGACGGTAATGAAACTGGTACCGTTGCTACTTTTTGATACCGTGGGATACCGTAATCCTGTATTACCACCCAACCCTACGTAGGGCAACTGTGGCTACAATTGCAGTTTACCACCACTAAGTGTGGAGTGAATAATGCTCTCTTAAGTGTCCAAAACAGTGCTGTATAAATTCGGTCCATAAAGCTGATACATTACAAAACACACCATCAAAAAGTCATCAAAGAGCATGAGCTGGTCTGTTGAACTCTGGTTAGAATTTCCATTGGTTTTTGTGATAGACCTAAAGTACACTTAATATATATCTGTACATGTTCAGCAGAGGCCACATACTTGCTGTATTATTAACACTGCACCATGTGACCTTTTCAGACCACTTAATTGGTTATGGCCATATAAAGCTACCTGCGGATACATTTTCACACTCAATGTCAGATT